ACACCAATTGGCCGTACCCAACTCCCAAGCATTTCCAGGTACAGCCCACCTAGACTAGAACAACGCTGATGTCATCTGTCTACAGGGCGACCAGCGCGAGCCGCACGACTCCGGTCGCGCCGTGTCAGAAGACAAGCTCGCCTCCCTAGGCGTGCTATACAAGCACTGCCCGACGATCGATGCGGTGGACAAGATCGCAGCGGAGCGCGGATACCGCAACCGCGACGAGGTCTGCGTGTCGCCTGCGACAATGGGCGCCGTGTACGAGGAGAAGGTTAAGTCGTTCTTCTCGGAGCATCTGCACGAGGACGAGGAGATTCGGTATATTCTTGACGGGGAGGGATACTTTGATGTGCGTGGGCAGGAGGACGAGTGGATTCGCATCTGTCTTGTCAAGGAGGATATGATTGTTCTCCCTGCGGGAATTTATCATCGGTTCACTACCAATGAGCAGAACGTATGTTTCTTGGCTTTTTTGTTTGTGGAATGGGACTGACTTTGTTTGCAGTATGTTAAGGCCATGCGTCTTTTCCAAGACGAGCCTAAGTGGACGCCGTTGAACCGTGGTGCGGATGTTGATGCTAACCCGCACCGGAAGACTTACTTGGAGACTGTTGTTAGTCCTACTGCGGCTGTTTAGAGTCGCTTTAAAATTGAGATGCGTTATGACGGATTGTTTGCACATATACTACTGACCGATTGGAATCGGAATTTCTTGAGATTGTCTTATATCTTTCGTTGCATGGTGCTTTTAACTGTACATGGGGACAGCAAACCCACAGTAAATCAATCGAAGCCATACCTAGTGGTAGGATCGGTCAACCGACACTTACTTATATCAATGGTCTGGGATGCCAGGCGTCCCCAATGGCGTACTCGCCGGCATGGCACCAGGCATATCAAAATGATCACTCGTAGCACCGCCACTCTGTTGCCTCGACATACTCGAGCTGCGCAAGCCACCCATATCAACATTAAAACTAGTCGTGCGCGAGCCAGCGCCAAGCCCTAACATGCCCCCACGGAACCGCAGCCCCTCCAGCTCCCGAGCATGATCGTCGGAGAACCGGGGTGGTCCTGAAATATCGGTAGAACTCGCGCTGCGCGGTGGTGCCGTTGATCCGGCATCCGAGTCCTCCCCGGTTCGGACGCCTGTTCTGCCCATGCGCGGCCATAGGTCTGGAAGTCCGACGACTTGCACTCGGGGCTCGACGACGCGCTCCTCGAACCACGCGTGGACTCGCGCTTCGACTAGTTGTGCTATCTTCGGTACATCCTGCAGTCGGCTGCGGGATCCGATGAGTGAGCGCACGGAGAGGTCTAGCCGGTAATCTGGGAGGAAGGAGAATGCGACGTTGCTTTTCGGGCTACTTTTCGGTGGGAGGTGGTCTTCCGAGGTTGTGTGCTCTCCGGGACCAGGGGGTCGATTCCCTGCGTTGTGCCCTGTGTCTGATGTGGGGTGCGCTGGTAATCCATCAGGTGTTTGAAGTGGTTCTGGGGGTTCGGTCGATGCTGGGATCAAGGATATACAAAGTGTTCCTGAGAATCTCACAACTGAGACTGATAGCGCTACTGGTATGATGGCAGAGCGAGGTTTGGGGTAGTTCAGAACCATAGATGTCTCGACAGCAATAGAAAGGTTGTCGTCGCTAAGGTCGACATCCAGTAGCGCCTGTAGCCGTCCACCGTCGGACATGGGGTCGTCAACGGCGATGATACGGCAGTTGCTGAAAATGGGAAACTCCTCGCCTAGTGATATATCGGTCACATTTATCTTGTCTATGAAAGATGGTTTCTTCTCCGGGTTGTTCATGGCCGCCGTTAGCGAGCTGAGGATTGACGAAGTGGGCGAGTCCTTGAGCGAATATGCTGTCTCCCTATACTGAGCAATTGTCTGTGCAATGAGCACATTGAACCAGTCCAGCGACTCGGGTTGATGTGAGGAGTGATGCATGCGGTGTCGGCCCTGCTTGCTAGTAGGGTTGGTAGGAATGGCACTGTAGTAGGTTTTGCGGAGGATGGAGCGGGTATTTGTAGAGGTAGAAGGTACAGGGCGAAGAACATTCGACGTGGACGGTTTTTCTCGTAATGACTTTTGGCTATCTTGAGGGGGGGTTATAGACCGAGCTGTTGCGGCGGTGTGTTGTGCGGTTTGACATGCCCCGCGATGGAGGGGGCGGTGCTTCACCAAAAATGAAAAACTTGATGAAAGCACCTATCAGGAGTACCACTGAGAGTTGGCCGAGAAGGAACCCTTGGGTAAAGGACAAGCTAATAGGTGTTAGCAGATCATATAGTCCACTCCATGGGCAGAGGGCGTACGAGGATTGAGTCGCGTATGGCGCGGGCTCATCTACATTATTGTCAGCATACGATTCAAAATCTTCGAGACAATGTCACTCACTTTGTTGGAGCACCATTGTCAGCGGCTGTCGACAATTCTTGTCACGATACCATCCCAGATGAAGATGTTCCAACTTTCGGATCTCCGAGGCTTGGCCGAGATCATATCTAATCGATATGCCACCCTCGACCGCCTGCCTCGAAAGATTTAAGCAGCGCCCTAATCTAGTTCGGGACTAGCGTCACTGGCATCTATAAAATACGAACACCTGTTCGTCCTGTTTCAGTCTTAAATTGGGTCCCTGATTGCGATCTGGGCATTTATTAGAGAGCATCATCCGACTAAACCGGTCGATCTAACTAGCAGTGCCCGTTTAGTGATCATTCAATGCTCAGAGTGTGTCCGGGTCTACTCAGTAGTCAAAAAGCGGCAAGGGTGAGAACTAAAGTGGAAAGGGAAAGCCAAAAAAATGGCAATGTAAGATGAATTGCAGAGTTTGTAAGGCTAAGCCCAAATACGACAGCATCGTAATAAAGGCAACAGCTTCCCCCTGGGCAACCTGATTAATCACCCTAACGCTTCAGCTGACTGGTCCCACTTACTCTTCTGCTGGTAGCTTCTTGTCCTTCAAGTATTCGCACGACCTCGCGGTTTTACTGTTCTTGTTGTACCAATATTAGCAGGGCATATCCCATCTGTGCTATCGGGGTTGGGGGTTATAATGTCTGGGTTGACCTTTCCATTTATACTCACTTTGGCTATTGTTCCTGCCAGTTTCGGATCGTACCTTCCAATAGTTGCCGTACCTTTTAAAGCTCCTCGTGGTTTCCTACTGAGTTCCACGTCATTTATAATCATGGGTGATCTATGATTCTATTCACATATCGCTAACTCTAGCTCAACCTCCGCATTACTATCCCAAACGGTACTGTAATTAAATCCGCTTGGGCACTCCCAGCTCTGCTAAAGATTTCGTCAAGCCCACCCTGACCAAATTGTCAATCTCCTTAGTCGTAGCTACAGCCATGATCCCCAGCATTCCCAAGGAATTCACTCCGGCCTCCTTATTAATCGCACCTCGTCTTCTCGGCAGCACGATAATCCACCTCTTGGTAAGAATCATATTATGCGGACAGACTGCCCCGGGCGCTGCAGTTGCCGTATAGTCCCCAGCCACCTTCGTAGCCTCTCGCAACAGGTCTTTGTAAGCCCCGAACAACGCAGCAGGAGTCACATCGCCCTCAAAACGTCGATAAAACCATTCAAAAGGAACCTTAGTCTCGGGTTCTCCGGGAGAATCCAGAAAAGCGGCAAAACTGTTCGCCGGCAGGGGCATCACCTGCATATGCTTATGCAGGCGACTACACCCGCCATTCTGGCCGCAGTTGTAAAATGCAACATAATCGCTCTTTGCGGAGCTCAGGAGCTGCCACGCGTCTTCTAGATCGACCTGCTCGAGCGCCTCATATTGTCGTTTGTGTCCATCAAACGTGAGAAGCATGAGATGGGGCCGAGCAAAGCAGAACTTGTTCACGATCACTAAGTGGCTATCTAGCGCGCCGAGCTCGAACCCGGTCGTGCTTATGTCGCTGCCTGGTCGCTTTTCGGGTCTTGGGGTGCCGGCCTCTGGCTGGGACTGGGGGCTGGTTAGGGTGGGTTTTTTGGCGAGAGCAGAAGTCAGAACGAATTGGAACTTGGTACGTTAGTAGATGTTTGATTTGGATTATGGTTGGATGTAATGAATGTACTTTGAGGTCACCGTCAATGTGCTCGATGATTTGTTGTTTGTCGTCGTATAGGACGAGGCCAGATTGGACGAGATTGTCGAATTTGGCGAGAATGAGGGGTTCTTCCATTCTGAATTTTTTGTGAATTGTGTTAGACGCAAGTGTATTCTAATTTTTATGGAGGTTGGGTAGAAATCTGGTGGGAGCAGCTTATTTATAGTCTCTCCAGATTGCGTGCACGTCCGGGATCTTGATAGTGGGATGCTACGGAGACTACCTTGGAAAAATACTGTAAGTAATTATCAGACGGTACTGTCAGGCTTATCTATAGACTACCCAACCCTGAATACCTTCATATCCAAGACTTCTCTTCTACTTGTCGTCAACCAAATCAGGAGATAAGCAATAAACCCAGAGCCTCCCACCGGTGACGTAGTCCGTTCAGCCCTAGTCACGTGGGGCCATTTCTGACATTCGCAAAACTCGTGACCAGAATATTTTCCCGATGCACAGGAATGAAAAAGATTCCACAATGGTACTGGCTATGAGAAGTGAAAGGTTGAGCTAGAGCGGTATGACTTGGTCGTGACGGTAAGCTCGTCAATGGCCTATGCTGCAGGATTGCAAAAGCTGATCTATAGCCTCAATAATTCTTATATGCATGTGACTTTTCACCCCGCGGACGGTTTCTATATATAATTGAGCACATGTATTAATCCTCTTAGAGTTTGGTATGGCATTTGATGCATAGTAATACTGATACATAGTCGACTTCTTCTGTCAAATAAGTCGATTCATCCTCTTACTGTTGACCACCCAAGCTACATCCATGGATGTCCCCTGTACAAGTGCACGGCCCCCTCCAGCTTACCCAACAATGCCAATCCATTTTGTTTCTCTATTCTGTCACCCCTTACATACACTTTATTATGAGTTCAGTGGAAGCTAGTCCCGAGAATGAGACTGCGTTTGAGCAAAAACCATTGATAAAATCACTCCAAGACTTGAATATAGTCGAGTCGTGGAACGATGGAAAGCTGAAATCCACTACCTTCTACCATGTCACCGAAAACGAGGAGGTTTTCTTCGGCTACACCTCCAAGAACAAGCGCGAAACGAGCATCGCAGAATACAATTCAGCTCTGCAACGTGTCCAGGATCAAGATATATACCCAGTGATTCCCGCCGACACCCACTTGACACTTGCACTGGAAGGACTGCCCGCTTCGTCAGTGTACATGAAACGACCAGGCCTACAGTGGTACGAGGAAATGATTGGCACAAATTATCTCCCCAAGGCCGTTCTTGACGAGACAATCGTCATGGAGCAAATCTCACAATCGCCTCACGAGAACATAATTCGATATCACGGCTGTCGGGTGAGACGCGGTTACATAACGTCGATCATGCTAGAGCGGCTTGACCAAACCCTGAGCCAGTATGTCTCGACGTCTGATTTTCAACAGCTCGACAAGATCTAGTTTTTCGAATCGCTCAAGTCGGCCGTGGAGCACCTACATACCTTGGGGCTAGCTCATAACGATATCAATCCGGATAACATTATGGTGAAGAATGGGTCGCCGGTGTTGATTGACTTTGATTCCTGTCAGCCTTTTGGAAAACGGTTGCAGTCTTTGGGTACGGAGGGATGGTATGAAGAGGTGTTTTATACTTCGGAGAAGGAACATGACATATATTCCCTTGGAAAGGTACAGGAGTGGCTTCAGGCTGCTTAGTGATGTTAGAAAAAGGCATGTCTCGCTACAATACATAGCTATTAGGAATATTTCTTATTCCTTATTGTATTGTGTGTACAGAACTCAATTGAGAACATGGTATATATGGAAAGGTTTGCAGAGAAAAAGAGATGGTCAAAGATTCTATGGGAACTAAAGTAAATTACAAAACAACAATAGTCGGCCACATTTGCTACCTCTATATTGAGAAAAATATGATCTAGTTGGCTCAATCGTAGTTTTTAGATATCTTCTCTTACCTACGACAGAAGGTTGGTATAGATAATGCAAACAGAGCAAACAAGCTAGATTATTCCACTCCACTTCCAAGTAACTTCGAAGGACAAAGGACACGAAACCCTTAACATAATCGCCACCTGTTGACTCACAGGCTACAGCATTGGAGCCTAATCTCTGATATCGTGCTTACCACTGACCACTACCTCAGAATCAATCTCAACCAATACTCCTCCAGGCACAGATCCTAAACCACAAGCCAGAGAGCTGTCAGCTCTCAACCATCCAACCATGCACATTCTCCCCAAGCTGGCAATCACAGCCTTACTCCTCATCTCACCAGCAACGTGCCTCTCAAGCCCCAAACCACCAGGCAAAGACGCCATCCTACTATCAAACGTGCAAACCCTCACACTCCGCGCCCACCGCATGACCACCGCACGGCGCGTCTCACCAATCCCCCAACTCAGCTGCGCAGGCCCCTCAAAACAAACATGTAACCTCTACCAACCAGAAACAATGCGCTGCACAAACCAAGGCTACGACTACGATGTCGAAGACGTGCAGTGGACATGCACCGCAGACATGCCGGCAGAGTTCAAGCTCGGCGCAACAGATGTCATCTGCGAGGGATACCGCAATGCCGATGATAAGTGGGTGTTGAAGGGGAGCTGTGGGGTTGAGTACCGGCTGCTCTTGACCGAGGCTGGCGAGAAGAGGTTTGGGAAAAGAAACGTGGATTCGGAGTGGGGCGGAAGCCAGTCCGGGACTGGGATTCAGAAGATCATGGAGATGCTGGGGAATTTGATTTTCTTTGGATTCATCGCTGCTGTTTTCATTCTGATCTTCTTGCCTATCTTGGCGCAGTGTTTCGGGTGGGGGAATCGGCGAGGCGGGCGGGCGGGGCAGCCACCGGGGTGGGGCGGGTTCTGGGGAGGTGGTGGTGGTGGACCTGGCGGAAATGACCCTCCGCCTCCGTACAGCAGTTTCGATCCTTATAAATCTTCTGCTCGTCAGGGCTGGACGCCGGGTTTCTGGACTGGTGCGCTAGGCGGTGGCGCGGCTGGTTATCAGATGGGCAGACGGGCTTACAGTGGATCGCGCGGCAGGTCTGATGGATATGACCCCGGTGAAGGCAGCTCGCGCTCGCCGCAGTTCTCATCTACCACTGCTAGTACTGGGTTCGGGTCGACGAGGCGTAGGTGAACATATGGACATGCCATTTACGTATGTCTTGCTTCGCTCGTCTTTGCTACCAACTTGGGAAGAAGAGATACCAAAAGACAGACAGAATTTAACGAAGTCACAAATCTATTAGCGAATCAAACAGCCTTTAACCCCGGGCTTGATCAATGTGTATCCTATAATCCCACTCAGAACGCCGTAACCAATAATCTTTCACTTCATAAATTGTGCATTATAATCCCCGACTTAAGCCGTGGGAAAGTCATCGATTGATCCCAGAACCTCCTCTGTACCGCCTCCCTGGTTCTTCACACCCGCCTTCTTGCGCGACTTCTTCACGGTCGTGTTGTCGTTCTTGACATCCTTGGAATCGCTAGTCGGGTTGCGCAGCATTTCCTCTTGCATTTCCTTCTCCTTAGCGTGCTGGTCCTCAATCCGCTTCTTTTCATCGTCAAGTTCCTGCTGGACAAGCTTGGGATCATCGTAAACAGTGTTGGTCATCTCTGAGTAGGTTGCGATGTCGATAGTCTCAGAAGGTCCCATCAAGGTGTCTTTGATTCGTTGCGGATCACGGCGTTCTTCATTGTTAAACTTTAACTTGATCTGACGACGAGAGCGACCCGGGAACATTTTGCTGATAACCATGAAATCGGTACCGAACATGCGGAGACCGCGATAAAACAGTTCTGTCATATCTTCATCCCACGCTTCCGTCTTTGTACGTTTGCCGTACGAGGCCTGATTAATCTTCCGGGTGAACGAGCTTTCCACCACATCTTCGAGGTCACCGGCGGCTCTGGCAGCATCCGCATGACGATCGACCTGCAAGGACGTATTATCCAGCACGATCTCACCGTTAACGATTCGCATGATAGGGCCACTTTGGGGTTTCCAGTCGACCGGCTGTTCGGTTTTCTCTTGTTCAGGCTCAGTCTGCTTGACGGGCGTTCCTGTTCCCGGCCCAGGGGTTCCGCCCTGCTTCTTCCGTTCTTCTTCGGCCTTATCAATCTTGCGTAGCTCTGTCTCGCGTTTGGACTTCTTTCCAGTTCTAAGATCTTTGCAAAGTTCGGACATTTTCACAACATTCGGCAAAATTTCTACTGTCTCTGCGCCATCCGGGGTGGGTTCGCGCTTCTTGCGGGTGCGCTTTGGTTTCTCACTACCCTCAGGATCAGAGGTACCGGTCTTTGAGTACTTTCGTTTCCTTGGCTTTGTTGGATCGGGAGTCGAAAGGTTGGATTCACCGGCCGTTGCACTTGAATCTTCGATGGTAGGCACGATTGACTGAGAGCCTCGACGACTTGCCCCTATGGATACGGACTTCTTTCGAGCTGGGACCGCAGTGACTGTAGTTGATAAAGTTCGAGCGCGTTTTGCTGGTCGACCCTCGACTGGGGCAGGTTGTTCAGTTTCTGGTTGAGATTGCGGCAGAGCTTCATTTGAATCGACAAGGGTTTCTGCGGCCCGCGCTGTTTCAATCCTAGCGTATTCTAAAAGAGCGTTCTCTGGTCCATGATCCTCAGATACAGGTTGAGCCTCACTAGTCGGGGCATTTGCGGGAGGTGGGGTCGGCTGGGTGGAAGGAGGGGTAGGCGGAGCAGTCAAGACAGGCGCGGGTTGCGAGATAGAGATAGAGGCTTTGCGTTTCTGTGGGGGAGGGATCGCAGCTGGCTTAGGAATTTGAGTCGGCCTTGAGATTGTAGTCGGCTTAGGGATCGGAGTCGGCTTTGAGATGGTAGTGGGTTTGGAGATCGGTGTCGGCTTTGCGATGGGTGTAGCAGTAGGTTGTGTAACGATGGGAGCGGTGATAGCAGCAGTAGTAGTAATCGAAGGAGTGACTGCAGTGTTCAAAGCAATGGGCGTTTGTTCCGTGATAGGCGCAGCTACCGACGCAGGTGAGGACGCTGTGACTGCCCGCGGCTCCTGTTCTGCATCCACAGAGGGCATCAGATCAGAGGAAGCTACATCTTTAGCTTTATCTTCCTGAACGGGCTCAGCTGGTGACGGTTGGGCAACACTAGGTCGTCTCGCGGGCGCGGCGGCGGGCGCACGGCGGATAGGCGCCTTCGGAGCGAATTTCTTGCCGGTTTTATCTATCAAACGCACGGTCAGAGATTGCATACTTATTCTTCTGGCCCATATATACTCACTGATTGCAGAACTGGAGAAGGACTTCATGGCTGCCCATTGCTATAAGGTGTGGATTGATGAAGATCATAAAAAGTTCCAGGCCGGGGAAGTGGGCGAGGATCACGTGATGGCACTAGCGGACGCTAAACCTCGTTGAAAATCCTCCTGTCTTCAACTCCTCGATCTCTGCCATCCCACCCCTTCTATTGTCTGCCCGCCCGCTCTCCCTTCACTTCCGCTTCTTTCGATTTCTTTCGCTATTTATTTTATCTTCTACCGGACTCTCCTTCGACAGGATTGACACAGTCTCGAGATCTGCGTCTGGCTGACTGACGGACGGTCCGGTGGTGATAATAGCCCTCCCATGCTAGTCTAGCCACTGATGCCGGCCGTCGAACCCCCCGTCACGTCTTCAGAGTCCGGTCTTATCAAAATGGAAGACCGGAAGAGGCCCGCTGCGGACCATAATGACTCGGCCCCGCCGTTAAAGAAACAGGCTACCACCGTTAACGGTGGTAGTAAGCCTCATCCTGATGCCGACATGCCATGGAAAGATGATTTGGAAGTATGTTTTGGTTCTTCCGCGATCTGGAGATTGGCTTTTGGTCTCCTATTGGGTATATGCTAATTGGGCTTTTTGCGATAGCGATTTCAAAAAGAAGCGATTTTGCGCCAGATGCAAGAGTACAAGCGGGAGAAATCCTCACTGGAATCACGCTTGAGCCAGATGTCAAAGGCTGCCACGTTTCATAATGATCATCTTCGTGTTATCGATTTGTGGTTCAAACAGGTAGCTTTCCCCATTCTTTGTGCCGGTCACTTGGCATGAATTTGGGAGCAGGAACTAACGCCAGTATAGCTGATTGATGAAGTGAAATTGCTACTTGGACCACCGCAAGCAGAAGACCAAGGTCAGTCCCCTTGTTCTAGCCCCACACCCCACCCACTATTCCAATATTGACAATATTCGCAGAAACCCCTTTTAAAAGCTCCTTGCAGTTTGAAGACGTTGAAGAGTTCGAGACGCATTTGAAATCGCGGTCGGAGGATATTCGCGCAATAATTTCTCAAGTTCAGTCCAAGTCTAATGATGCGCCTATCGAAATTTCAGAGGTACAGACTCGCCTTGCAAAGAAGTTGGCCGAGGAGAAAGTGACGATCGCCGAACTCGAAAAAACCCTGGCCGAGAAGCAACAGTTGGAGGAAAGCCTTGAGGAAGCCTCCCTGCGATATTTGGTAGCCGAAAAGAAACTGGATCGTGCGAAGAGTCTGACTGTTGCAAAATTGGAAAAGCAGCAGTCTATGGGTATTCAACGACCTGGGGAAACGTCACAATCAAAGCGCGAAGGATCGACCCCGGCCAATGGAACCCCCACCGGAGACCGCAACCCCGAATTGGAAGAAGCCAATAACAAGCTCACTGCAATTTCGGAGAAACAGAAGGAGCAAGTCCGGAAACTCGAAGCCGAAAATGCCAGTTTGCTAGGCCAAATCACCGAAATTAAAGTCAAGGTTGGATTCACCTCGTTACGTTGTCATTTTGTCGCTCACATCGGGATCCTAGTCTTCAAAGTTCACCGATGACGATTACGCCCATACGGATTTGTTTAAACACCTTCGATCACAGTACGACGATGTAGTTAAGCGAATCAACCACCTGGAAGCGACAAATGTTCAACTTCGTGAGGAAGCAGAGACATACCGCTCGGAAAGAATCGCATACAAGATCCAGGTGGAAGATGAAACACAAAGTACGATTGCCGAGAAGGAAGCTCAGCTGATGAGGGCTGAAACGGACCTGGCTCGGATACGGAATGCCCGCGACGAACTTTTAGCCGACCAACAGATGCGAAAGGCCGCGCAAGATCAGAAGAAGACTTCTAGTTTGAAACTGCAAGAACTAGCAGACGCTAGAGAGGCTCGAATTACAGCTTTAGAGTCCGAGAGTCAAAGGTTGCGGCTGCAGATTGAGGGCTCCAAGTCCGACGACAATATCAACGATATGCCGCTAGAGGAGCTTCGCGCCAAGTACACCAGCCTAGAACGCCAGTACTCCATGCTCAACACCGAGTTGACATCAATGCAGACGGCCTACACGAAGTTTGCTACTCTCGCATCGCAGAAAGTTACCGACTTTGCGGCTATGGAAGAGAGGGTTGCAAGGCTGACGGCGGAGAAGTCTAAAGCAGATCAGAAGTTCTTTGCTGCAATGAAAAGCAAAGAAGCACGGGATGTCGAAGTGCGAACGCTCAGAATGCAAAGCTCCAAGACGTCAGATATTGTGGCCCAGCTGAAGGAGTCCGAAGCAGCCACTCGGTCATTGGTGTCCAACATGGACAAACAAGCCAATGAGACCAAGGAGGCACTGAATTCAGCCCTGAGCAAGCACCGCGCCCTTCAGCAACAGTTGACCGAGAGCAATATCCTCATGGAAGGCTTGAAACATCAGGTTGCTGAGCTCAAAGGGCTTTCAACATCCAAGGACTCGACACTGGCAAGCACCACTTCTGCTTTGCGGCAAGCTGAGACAGAGGTCGCTGGTTTGAAACAGTCCCTTTCAGATACCAAGAAGAGTCTGGACAACTGGAAGACCAAGAGTCTTGGCAATTCGTCTTCGGAATATGAAATGCTGCGGGTATGTTGAATTTCCACATTCGTTAATGAATCAGAGCTAACTACGTTCAGACACTTGCACTGTGCACGGTGTGTCGTCGCAATTTCAAAAATACGGTGATCAAAACATGCGGCCATGTTTTCTGCAAAGATTGCGTCGCAGAGCGTCTCACGTCGCGCTCCCGCAAGTGCCCGAACTGCGGCAAATCTTTCGGAAGCAACGACCACATGCACATTACCCTCTGATCGACCTTCGAATCCCTTGTATTATATTTTCC